TGCTTTGCTAAGCTTGTTCTAAGTAGGTGCTTTAGACCACTGAGCCATCTCTCCAGCCCTGGAAGCTTCCTTAATTTCTTTTTCTTTCTCTTTCTCTTTCTCTTTCTTCTTCTTCTTTTTTTTTTTTTTCGGAACCGAGGATTGAACTCAGGCCCTTGCGCTTGCCAGGGAAGCGCTTATTCCACTGAGCCATCTCCCCGGTCCCCAAAATGGCAGAAGGATTTTTTTTTTCTCTCCCCGAGTGCTTTCAGGGCAGGTTTAGCTGGCTTGAGTTGTGGGGATCGAACCACAGCAACCTGAGCCTGACTGCTTTGTTGAAGCAGCCACTTAAAGAACTGAGCTAAAGGACAGGCCTCCGCTTCCTTGATTTCTGTTGACTACTGAAGCTATTTACTCCTTCCAATTTTAGCTTAATTATTGTAAGAGTTGCTTTAGTCAATATGTAAGATAATAAACTATAATGTTAGGTATAACTTATTTCTAATATTAATTTTCAGAAAGGTACTTTTTATACTTCCTGAAAAGACATTCATCCTATTGGGATTGCCTTTTAAGCTGTACTTGCCCATGTATCTGAGAGTAGCTGTCTGCTTATCTGTTCCGGCTGAATTACTTGCCAAGCAACCATAGGTTCCTGCATCTTTGGGAACTGCATTTTTAATAAGTAAGGTACCTTCAGAGGTCATCCTATACCTGTGGATAAAAAACAAAAAGAAAATAAAATTGAAAATACACTAATCGGGCATCAAAATACTCTAGCATCTTCCTTCCCAATATTTACAAATATTTTAAAGTTACATTTTTGTTGTACCCAGTACCAGCCACACACCAGGGATTACTGTAGAAAGTTTGCATTCATTCATGGTTTTCAATCTTCCTAGCAACCCAATGACTTAGAAAGCATTAGTATCTCTATCCTATAAATGACCATAGAGAATGTATAAATTTGCCCAAAGTCAGAGTTACTAAATGGAAATACTAAATTTGCCTCTAGGTAACCTCACTCCTTGATCTGCTATGGGAAGGGGTTTTCACAATGAAACCTTCAGGAGATACAGGGCCTTCTGTCACACAGTGAATCTGTGATAGTCCAGGACGAGAGTCTGGCCCAGCTTGCTGGATTGTACCTAAGCCCTTCTTTGTATGCCAAACCTAGAGTAATGGAAGCCTGATGGTTGGAAGCCTTATTGTTTATATTCTACATGTTTATTGCTCTCTCTGGGCATGAAAGAATAAAGAGTTTAAGAAGTAGCCAGTAGACTAACATGCCTCTCAATACAGTGGTGGAAGCAGTTACTCTGAATGTCTTCACACAAAGTAACTGGAGCCTCATTTGTGTCCTTTTGTCCCCCTGCCCCTTCTTACTAAATTTCAGACAATCCCTATAAGATTTGTTAGTGGGATAAATCTCCCCTCACACATAGAAAGTTTAATATACCGCATTAATTTTTCAAAATAAAACATGTGTTACACAGTGTTACTTTTACAACTCAAAGTATTGGAAAGGACTTGGTTTTAATTGAATTTAAGATTTATGTAGTATCATTGTTCTATTACTTGTTGACATACTGTAGTCTGTTTAGAAATGTAAAACTGAGGGTTTTCTTTTTTCTTTCTTTCTTTTTTCTTTTTCTTTTTCTTTCTTTTTTTTTTTTTTTTGGCGTGTGGTACTGGGAATCAAACTCAGAACCTCACACTTGCCCAGCAGGCACTGAGCTACTGAGCTATGTGTCCAGTCCCTAAAACTGAATTTTCACTGAGACTCTTCTAGTATTAAAAGGGTCGGGGAGATGGCTCAGTGGAGTAAGCACTTCCCTGGCAAGTGCCAGAGCCCGAGTTCAATCCCCGGTTCTGCAAAAAAAAAAAAAAAAAATCTTATCGCTTCTCGGCCTTTTGGCTAAGATCAAGTGTAGTATCTTCTAGTATTAAGGATTTAGACAAAGTCATTTGATCCAAAATGTCATCAACTTGTCTTATTCAATAAAAACAAAGAAGATGATACAAACCCAGTACCTGTGTGAACCCACAATAAACATATCGTTAACAGTCCAGGCAATCTTTGGTTTGGGATACCCTGTTGCAGAACACATGATGGAAACCTCAGATCCTCCTGTAAAGGACTGGTTCTTGGGCATCACAGTGACTTTGGGTGGTTCTGTAAGTAAAAAGAAACACAAGTAAGGAAATGCCCATTTATGTTAAAGTAGGGAGGCTTTTCTACAAGCAAATCTGGAAGTTTCTTACCACCGTACAATCATTAGCCTCTGTAGAAACTCTTCATGGGTCTGGCACGCGTAGCAAGGGAGGGGCAGCAAAACCAAAGACAATGAAAACAAAGGAAGAGAACTTTCTTTGAACATAAAATGAATTTGATTGTAACGCTTTATTTCTGTGTCTCCACTGGTTAGCATCAAATCAGGCCTGTTGCTACTTTAATCCCCTCAGCTGACCTCTAGCTTCTGTCTGCTAATCTGAAACTTTCATACAGCTTCATTTCCAGCAAAGTCTGTAGATAGGTAATTGGGTTCTTTTTAGACAATGCAAGTTCAGAGTCATAACTCTTCTTGACCATGTGCCTGTTTCGTTTGACTTAATCTTGTTCTTTTGATTTACTAAATGATATCTCTGTTCAAGTCAAAGACTATGTCTTACATACTATTCCACATCCCCTTGTCTTCTACAGTATTTAACATCCCTTGCATATCCGGCACTACCTTAGACACAACAGAAAATTGTTGATTGAATGCAAGTCATTTCCAAACTGTAACTTGCTCCACGTGGTCATATCTACCAATGTCTTGCAAGGCTTTTCTATACTGAGAACTTGACTCAGGCCTATGGAACCACTGAACTCAGCTTAACAAGAAAAGCCAATTAGTCGAACTTTCTATCACATTTCACTTCCACGGCCAAAAAATGAAAATGTTGAAAATGAAACACGATTTAAAGAATTTATTGTCAAAAATAAAGCCACAATTTTCTGGGATATGAGGTGTTGATGTATATTGTCCCTAAATTACCTGATTGATATCTAGATTAATAGGGAGTAAGAATTAATCTTCAAAGACGGTTCCATTAAAATATTAAACAATTCTCTTAATGTAGACATCCTCCACTTGATAAAATGAAAATAAATTCATTTCCACAATGCTTAAGGCAAATTCCAACAGTCTTAACAGAAACAAATAAATTCATCTAGCACCATCTGTTTTTTGTACAAAACTTATATGTCCGGCCCTGTGCTAACTTGTAGGGGTTCACTGATGAATCAAACAGGCATGCTCTCTGTTTTACACTTAATTGGGATTTTAATAAAAATGTAATTGAGAAATTCCATCAGCCACTTTGATCGAGATTATACTTATGTCTTTACTGTAAATTTGTCTGAAAATAGTGACTTGAATTCACTAAGAAAAAGTGGTCTGAGGACTATTCATACATTTGAAAGAGACAGGAATGGTACTTGTGGGTTGCAGCAGCTACCCAGCCAAAGGAAGCTAATTAGTGTCTAATTGCTAGCAGCTTACAGTCACCCCTTCTCTCGCTCTCTCTCTCTCTCTTTTTCCTGTTTACTTTGGGTTTTTCAAATTATGATCTAGTCTTTGAAGTTTATGTTTGAAGGGTTTTTCCGGCCTGTGGAGCTGGTTGATAGCCTCATTATTCCAGATTCTTCTTGGTGAACACAGGGCTAGAGAAATGCAGGAGGTCAAGGGCAGACTAGTGATGGCCAGTAAGTTCACACTGTGGTTCCATCTGGAGCCCATCAATTCCGAAACGCTGAAGGACTGCACATGCTGGTGGGGCCCTGCAGACAATCTCCGGGGATATGAGGGAGAAGAGTGCATAGTTCCTACTCGTTGAAATTTACTGAATACCTACACTTATTCAGTCCCACTTTCCTAAAATAAAATGTTTCTCATGTCTAGCTCATGTCGACATGAGATTGCTTCAAAGATTCAGGCAGCTTGCAGGATTTCTGTGTAAACTTGATGCCTTCTAATGTAGTCTGCCAGAACTGGCCTGGCATTTCTCCCAGCAAGAATCCCACTGGTAGGTTCTGTAGTTCAGATATCAAAGTGAAAATAAATGTCAGTTACCCAAACCAGGATACAGAGAGCAAAGAGGTTACTGAGCAAATAAAGCCTGGCTATAGGGTGCTGCTTGGGGTCATGAAGAAAGTCTGTGTGCAATACACAGATGGGATGACTTCATCCCATAGGAGATGAGAAATTCACCACTGCTCTGGAAGGACTACTCCTGATGATGGTAAGAAAATCAGAAAGGATATGAACATAAAGAAGAAAAACTGGACTCTTACCAAATAACAGTGTAGTAAGTCTTATTTAATTACTTTGACAATTGTTTTTATAGTACTGGTGATTGAACCTAGGACCTTCTAACTCATCGTATCCCAAGCACTCATCTTCATCATTCATTATTATCATTACTGACATAGAGTCTTACTAAGTCAATAAGTTGCCCAGGCTGGCTTGGAACTTGAGATCCTCCTTGTCTAAATTTCCCACAGTGCTGGGATTACAGGGATGCACCACTATATTCAGCTCTCAAGAGTTAATTTTTTCAACAACAGAAAAACTCACTTTAAGAGAGTAGGCCTAATGGAACAAGAATTTTAAAAAATTAAAGAATCATAGTTTAAGTCTGTCCATGAAGCAATATGATTTGCCCACAATGAACAAACACAGCCCCATATCCCCTGATTCACAATGTTGAACTTCATTTTTTGAATATAAAAAAAAGGGTAAAAACAGATTTAGAAGTTTGAAGTATAATTTCAGCCTTTGAGGACGAGTAACCTATATTTCCTTGACAGTTTCCAGCCATTTGCCAAATGCCACCATCAGTCAGCAGCCTCACCATTCTCAAGGAGAGCACTTTATTAGGCTCAGCACTCTGGGGTAATAATAGATTTATTTTTAATTTTTAAGTTATAACAAAAGCAAAACCTGTTCTTCTAATTTCTTAAAATGATTTAAAATAATTAAATTTAGAACATATAATATGAGGAAATCAAAAGAATTTTTAAGCCTTTGCTATCCAACAGAAGAGTGATGAACGAGGTTGACAAACTGAATTACAGATGGCCACGAAAGCAGCTATCATAGGCCTGCAAAGATTAGGGAAGAAAATTATCACCTCAACTCTCTTTAGAATCATCAACCTTCTTTCTTCACACAAGGGCATGTACTTTCTGTCAGCTGGGGTTGATCCATTTTTCTTAAGCATCGGATAAGGAACTTTCTTTTTTTTTTTTTTTTTTTACATTTATTTATTGTGTGTGTGTGTGTGTGTGTGTGTGTGTGTGTGTGTGTGGCCAGCTCAGCCCACCAGGGGGCGCGGCTGGCTGGCATGTGGTGCTGGAGGATCGAACCGCGGTCCCTGTGCTTTGCCAAGCTTGTTCCAAGTAGGTGCTTTAGACCACTGAACCATCTCTCCAGCCCCAGGAACTTTCAAAGAGATGCAAAGACTTTCTCTTCAAAGTGATTTAACTATAATCAAGGAACTACTCAAATAATACAAATGCTTTTCACCTAAGCAAAAATAAGTATACCAGCTAATATGCCACTGGCATTTGGGAAAACTTGTGTTTCCATATTTGTTTGTTTGTTTGTTTACCCAAGAAACATCTACTGAATTCCTACTCTGTTTCACTATGTGTCCTCAAAGATCTCACAGAATACTATACAGAAATGTGTATTATAGGGGCTGGGAGATAGCTCAGCAGCAAATGTCCCTGCATGCCAAGTGCAAGGTCTGGAGTTGATCTCCAGTGGGGCGGGGGGGGGGGGGAAGAATGCAAGTAGGAAATGTGTACGGTGTAAAACTAATGACTAATACTCTTTCTAATAGGTGACAGAAATAGGCAGGAAGGTTAAATTTCCTGACAAATCATTTATTTCCCACAATAACTCTATGAAGTAATTGCTACGTTACTTTATAGAGTAAAAAGAAAACAAAGTTCAAAATGGTTAATTAATTTGCCCAATTTCACTCAAAAGTGGAGCTGGGAATCAAAGTCAGGCATTGTTGAGTTCTGGTGTCCATTTTTACTTTAACATGGATAACAGTACCTACTTCACGGAGTGATTCTGAGTGAATCACTTTAACATGCATAAAACTGTTGAAATAATTCCTGGCAAGTAGTAGGCACTGTGTCACTTTTGCTTTTATTATTAATGCTCTACTATTTGAAGAATATGACAAATAATGATAACATAAGTAATGCAATACTTAAAATACACCTGTGAATATGTACTTGAATATGTACTATGTTGACACTTATAAATGAAACTTGATCATTCCAGTCACAACTTCATGTACTACTTAGATAATATGTAAATTTATAATTAATATTTATTACAACTAATAATCCTCTGATGGTTAAAATGTTTTGAGATAGGGAAAATTTATTAGACATTTCAGTAAAGACAGATCAAATTCATTTTCTCCACATTTTGCTGAGAGAAAAATATATGGTAATACTAGACCCGTGTGGGCTGGCACATGTTATAAAAGCTATGATACTATAACGAGCATGTGGTGATGACATTATAAATTTCATATTTAGTGGAGTGCTGTAATTCATTGGAGACTTCGTCAATCAGCTGGGTGAACATTTCCTTGTTTTCTGTAGTCCTCTCCCTCGTGATATGGAGGGCGATAGTCACCCTTTCCTGATCTCCTCAGAAAGCAAGTGAGCACCACTGATGTTCATACAGAAACAGCACTGAGGAGAGGAGACCGCCTGCTTGGCCCACTGGTCTCCACACGGCAGGCAGCGCTGAGTCTGCAGCAGACAGCAGCTCCGCCCTGAGCAGGCCCCAGTCGAGCCAGGCCTCCTGCGCTGCTCTTCAGGCTTTCAAACCCTCTTGCTAAGGGAGCTGCTCGATAGCCAGCACAATACTATTTCTGTTGCCAGGCAGAGGACAAAACAGTCCGCATTAAATAAGACTTTAAGCTCGTATCATGCAAGTAAATATTTCCCCCCATTATTCTAACTTAGAATTGTAAACTTGACCTTGACCGGTATCAGTTTTTAAGAATTTAGCAGCCACTGAATTCCTTTAAAAGTAAAAGAAAAAGAAAAGTTGTAGTCTTTTTTGGTAAAGCTTTACAAGATGAACATGAGAAAAT